GATTTGGTTTTGATTTGTAGCCTAGTTGACTCGAGTGAGTACGCCCGAGGGGTGTTCTACACCTAATCCCCTAAAACTATCTAGTTTGGGAGCGGTTGGCCTAAAGCTCATTACACAGGTCCTCTAGAAAGCTTAAGAAGTCATTGCATAGATCATGAGCTTTATAAAAAAAAAAGAAAGAAAGAAATAGTATAAGTCTTGACTTGTAGCCTAGTTGGTTCGGGTGAGTAAGTTCAAGGAGTGTTCTACACTTAGTGCCCTATAGCCTTCCGGTTTGGGAGTCATTGACCTAAAGCCTGATACACATACCTTCTAGAAAGCTTAAGAAGTTAAGGCAAGAAAAAAAAAATTCAAGTGATGAATGAAAAAGAAATTATATGTTAAAATCTTGTGTAGAAAATGAGCATTATGTTGCATGTACATAAGTTGGGGAGTTTTGCATCACATTTTGACATTGTGATATGAACATGAAATGTGTGTCTGAGAAGCTTGAATGGAGATAGGCAAATCTTGACAGAAACTTTAGTTCTTTATTTAGGATTGTGTTATTTAATTGTTATATTAAAATTCTTCACTTTACCTTTTGATGAATGTCTTGGTTGTTGATGAATATGGTTGTGTATGGTTTTGGGAGAATGTTGAAAGAGTTCTTTTAACTTTACTCAAGGACGAGCAAAGAGTAAGTTGGGGAGTGTGTTAAGAGTCATGAAAGTGACTCTATTTTGGTGATAAAAAGACCCTATGTGTGATTAAAATGAAATCATATTGAGATAATTAAAGAATTTATGAATTTATTCACGAAAATCGCATTCTAATATTTTTCTTATGAATTTAACATGTTTGGAATGATTTTGGAAAGGGTATAAGTTGATATTAGGTTGTGGTTTATGGATTAGGGGTGATTTTGTCTCGTTTATGCTGTTTAGGGGGTAAACTGTTATATTTATAGGGGTTAATTTTGTCACTTTTCAATCATGTAGGGACCAAAGAGATATTTTTAGAAAGCGAAGGGTCGCAAATCTGGAGCGCCGTTCACCATCTATAGTACCCATTTTCCATCCCATTTCCAGTAATTTTCGGCGACGCTTCAGCTTCCCCTTTCACCGATCATCATCATCCAGTACTCACCACCGTGATTCACGCCATTTTCCGGCGTTATTTTGCATTCCAACTGTTGTTAGGCCATTTTTTGGTGACCTCTGGTGACATTTCACTTCCCTGTGGCTGATCTACCTTCCTCACACTTAGATCTATCCATTCCGAGCTTCAGCAACTGTAAAAAAGGCCACAATCTACCATCGCCGCCACCAGGCCTTTTCACCTTCCAACTGCGATTTCGCTTACTTTCCGATGAACTTTCGTCTCCCCAGGACCTGATTTGAACTCCCCATCACCTGAGCCTTCCATTGATACCTTCGGATCCCATTTTCGCTACCATTTGTCGGAAGACCTGCCAAAAAACTAACGTATTTTGGCGAGTGTGACTGTTCATATTTTGGGCTGGACGTTGGTCATTTTCGCTCCTTCTTTGCATCATCTCGTTATTGGTTACTTCCTCTCTACCATGACCAGCTTTGTTTCCACCACTCCAGCCTCCGTCGACACCACCATGAACAGCTAAGTTCCCGGTTGTCTATTACGGTATAGGCGAGATTGAGATTGACTCCACTGCTTTCCTCACTAGCTCTCGACTAGTTGGATGAGCCCGACTATAGGATATTTGGTAGTATTGTGTTTCAAATTATATTTGTTTTCGTTTCATGTTTGATTTCGATACTTTAATATGGTTTGACCATAATTTGTGACGAATATAGTTGTCCATTGTGATTAACAGATTTCATAGAACTTACTGAATGATAGACGTGGGTTTGAGATAATTAAATGATGAATATTGCTTTTCATTACTTTGTATCAATTGTAATTGAATTATGTTGGGATTTAATGTCATTTCTACTGTTGCGTTTATTGTGAAGTTGGTTGATTGGAAGATACGTGTTGACAAATTATATTTGTTAATCGCGTACCAACTAATGGTATTGTCTTGTAGTATTTATCGGCATTCAATAATAGCCTTTAACCAATCAAACTTGAGAGATCGAGTGAGACAGGATAGATTATACCTAGAGTGCCGGAAAGTCATTTCATTGATTTACCTTACCTTGTAGGTTTAGGGGATTGTAGAGGGTGGAGGAGAATTGTGTGAGTTGGTCTCGTGTCGAATCAAAACCATAGCGGCAACGTTTTCATTATAAAGTCTTCATTAGTTTTAATTTCACGCCTTTATTATTTGCATTTAGTTTGTTTAGTTTAATTAATCAAATTGCCAATTTCATTTTCGCTACTCAAATATACATTAGGTTGTTAGTCTTGCTCTCTGTGGATTTGACCTTGCTTAGCGCTAACTATGATATTTAGGTTTAATTTTGTGGCTGTGACGACTAGTTCGACACTCAACTCTCAGATCGCAATCAGTTCTCAGTTCTCAGTTCTCAAATTGCGACCAGTTGCTAGCGTCAGAAAAAACGTATAGAAAACTCAAAACAACTTTGAAACATGCCAAAATGGTGGATATTGGCCTTGAAAATGGCCCCAACGGGGTTCCTCGATTGCTACAATGTAGAGTTGGAACGAGCTTTCTGTGGATATCTTACGAGTTCCAAAACTCCTCTTGGATCAAAAGTTATGACCATTTTAAGTTGGCTTGTTCGTTTAGGACCTCTAAGCCACGTGTTTGGGCTTCTGATGTCAGCCTTCTTTAGGAATTCATCTACTGGACATTTTATGTCAATTATCAGATCACAATTAGCTTCGAATCGCTCCAAGCACTCAGATCACAGTCCTAGCTCTTAGCATCTCATCATGCCAGGCAAAGTTCTAGCTCTTCAATTCGAGACTGCAGCCTATAGTGCGACATCCATTTAGATCTAAGACATAAGTTTTTGAAGTGCAGTTACGCACTCCAAAAACTAGGGGGATTCTGTTGTGCCAAAAATACACACTAATGTCAGCACCACCAATCAATGTTCAACTGACCTAGTTAGTAAAAACGTGTATTATACGCGAATTATATAGACAGCCGTATAATTCGCGTATAAAACAGGCGTATTCAAATTTTGTAAAATCTACCGTATAATTCACGTATAATAAGGTATACCGTATAATTCGTGAATTATTCGCAAATTTTTGAAAAAAAAAATATAATCTCACACCCCCAAAACGACGTTGTTTTGGTGGGTTTATACAAAAAATTAAAACAGATCTGGTTCATTGGTTCAGTCGTTTTTCTTCAATTCTTCGACAGTTCAGTAGCAGTTCTTCTTCCTCAGTTCAGTTCTTCTTCTTCCTGAGTTCTTCTTCAGCTTTTCTTCCTCTGTTCTTCACGTTTTCAGCTTTCTTCATCTCTTGTTCTCTTCTTCCAGGCTTCAACTTCAAGTTCGGGACTTCAAGGTACACACTTTACACTTGTTCTCTTCTCTTTGAATGTTATTGGTGGATTGCTTTTGTTTGTGTTGGTGTGACTTGTGAGTAGTAGTAGACTAGTAGTAGGAGGGGCTGGTGGATCACTGGATTGATGGATTTGTTTGAAACATATTTGATGAAATGCTTGTGAGAGACCGAGAGTTATATTTGTATTTGTATTTGTATTTGCTTTTTTGGCTTCTGCCGGATCTTAGTTGGGAAGGGAATGAACTTTATTTGGATTTATTATTGCTGTTGAATTCGCTGGACGATGCCCATAAAATTCAGCAGCTTTTGCTAATTGAGTGACTGCAGTTTTAACTTTTAACAACTGAGCAATTGAGCAAAGTAACTTCTTTTGTTTCAGTCTTTGATTTAACGGTTGTTTGGACAATTTGTTAGAATATCTTAGTTGACAAAGTTTTTATTAGTTTATGAATGAAAAACATTTTTTGAATTCTTTGTCTTGTACAATTCTACTGTCATTTTAATGTAAGATATATGGGAATATTATCTTATACTGACTTTTGTATTGTTCTCACCGAAAAAAAGAAGAAGAATATATTTATGATTAAAAAAGACTTTTGATTTAGATGTCAAAGATGAAAATTCCTTTATATTATACCTACAGAGAACATTCTTTTGATGCTTCCTACTTTTGTTTGATCCATGAACAAAATTTTCCCTTCATTTCTGGGTAGATATATTGCAAAGGTTACTTGGCTAAGTAAACCATTAAAGACATCATTTCTGGGTAGATATATTGTAAAGGTTATTTGGCTAAGTAAACCATTAAAGACAAATAATTACAGTGTTTTTGTAATTGATACAATTAGCGGATAAATTTTAGTGAAGTGTTTGCTGAAAGCTGGACAAACTGGTCATCAATATGGGCTAATGTTTTTCAAGGGGTATAGAAACAGAAAAGTGAAATGCATGCATGAAAAAAAAAAAATTAGATTAATTAGTGCCTTAATGTTGGACCAATGTTCAAATATTTAATATAATAGAAAAAAAATCTATCTGGGTAAGAAAGAAACTGCCCTTATATGTAGCTACAAATATTAATAAAATAGAATAATATAATGAAGTAATTATTATAATTGGCATATTATATTCCAACTGGGATTGGCCATCTTGAAAGAAAGGAATCTAGAGTTCTAATAAACCAAGGGATGAGTAGAGGAGGACTATATGCTTAACTTTTTCCATAATTTTGTTATTTTCCACAATAAGATTATATGCTATCATGCTTAGGAAAGAAAAAAGATTATATGTTAACTTTTTTTCTTTTGTATTTGATGATGTTCTCTTTTATGTTCTTGTAAATACAGACTCAAATCAATATGGTACGAAAAAAAGATAAAATTTGGGAGCATGTTGAGGAGCTCCAAGGGAATAAATGGAAATGTAAATTTTGTTAAAAAGTATTTAGTGGTGGGGCTTACAGAATTAAAGCACACTTGTCTGGAATTACTGGCCATGATGTTGAGATTTGTAGTAAAGTCAATCATGAGACACAAGCATGTGCATTCTTGGCTATGTCTGGAAGTGGAAGTAACAAAAAATTAAAAAGTTCAGCCGGTTCTTCTACTGCTTTAAACTCTAATGATCATGAGGAAACAGATTCACCATTTTCACCACTTTCTATAGGTAGCCAAAGACGTCAAAGTCAAGCATCTTTACTAGAAATGAATAAGAAAAAAGACAAGGAGTTTGTTGATAAAATGCTTGCTAAGTGTTTTGTGGTGAACAATATTGCTTTTAATGTTGTTCAAACTGGTGCTTTTCGAGCATTTGTTAAGGCAGTGGCTGAATATGGTGCAGCATACAAGCTTCCATCTTATTCAAATCTTCGAACTAAGTTAATTCCAGAATCTAGAAAAGGTATTGATGAGTATGTTGCTATGGTGAAGCATTCTTGGGATACATCTGGATCTGGTTGTACTATAATGTCTGATATATGGACTGATATAAGGCACCGATCTTTCATTAATCTTGTGGCATATTCACCTGGCGGTGCAGTGTTTATAAAATCATTAGATATTTCTCGAGAAAGAAAAACTGGGATTTATTTGAAAGAAATTGTTGTTTCTGTGATTGAATCAATTGGACAAGAACATGTTGTGCAATTCATAACTGATAATGGTAGCAATTTCACATCTGCTGGTGACATGCTCATTGGATTGTATCATCGAATGTATAAGACGAGGTGTGCTGCTCATGGAATTCAGCTTCTTTTGAAAGACACATATGAAGAAGTTAATTGGGTAAAAGTTGTCACAGATGAAGCAAGAATAATAGTTATGTTCATGACACGGTACACAGTTCTTCATGTAGCAATGAAAGAGTTCACCAAAGATAGACAATTGAGACAACCTTGTGCCACAAGATTTGCTTCAAATTTTTTAATGCTTCAATCTGTGTTGGATTTGGAGAATGAACTTCGACTCTTTGTTGCTTCATCTGAATGGAGGGGTTTTGATTATTGTAAGACCGAATCAGGTAAAAGGGTCACTGAAATTGTTCAGAGTGATTTTTGGGCTAGAGGAAGGGAGGTTATAAAAACCATTGAGCCATTGGTTCGAGTTCTTCGGTTGATGGTGATGGATCTACTGCTGGTTACTTATATGAAGCAATGACGAGGGCAAAAGTTGCAATCAAAGAAAGATGTAATAGTGAGGCAAGCAAGTATGAGAGAATTTGGGAATTGTTTGAGAATCGTCGGGTCAATAACATCATTCATCCTATACATGCTGCAGCTGCCTTTCTCAATCCAGCTTACTTTTGCTCACAAAATTTTAGAGAGGATAGGGAGATGAAAGATGGCATCAATTTCATTCATGAAAACCTGCTTCTAATAGAAGAAAAGCATCCATTTATGAGAGAGGTTTAGTTTTATCGTAGTAGGCCAGCTACCTTATTTACTGCAATGGCAAAAACGATGTTACAAACAAGTCATCCTCGTAAGTGTTTTAAAAAATTTCAATATCTTTTCTTTACATTGCTTCTCTCTTTATATTCAAGAAAGTTTTTTATGTCATTTGCAGGAATATGGTGGGATTACAATGGGGATGATCTTCCTGTGCTCAAGAAGTATGCCATTCAAATTCTGAGTCAACGTTGTAGCGCTTCATCATGTGAGAGAAATTGGAGTGCCTTTGAAGCTGCTCAAACAAAAAAAAGGAATAGGTTGTCACATGAAATGCTAGACACACTTGTGTATGTAAGGATGAACACGATGATGATGGATAAATTCTCTTCCACGATGAGTCGTGACTTGGAACGTATAAATCTTGAGAAATTGGGAGAGCTTCCAGACTATGAATATGAAGAAATTCACATGGACGAAGATGCTAATTCCACACCAACAGTTGAGGGTTACGTGGATGACTTAATGGATAATGATGACACTGCTTGGTTGGACGATACTCTTTTTTGAGTTGTTATTGACTTATTGTTATTTATGTACTTTGTAAGTTTTTGTTACAAACTGTAATTTGAATCTTTGTTGTATTATTTGTGTATTACTATATTTTATTTGTTTGGAGCTCTTATTCGACTTTGAATTTTGATTTTGTTATGACTTATGTGTTTAATGCGACACTATGGTTGAATCTTAGCTAAATATTGTGTTTGAGTCTGGAGACTATAATTTGAATATCATTTATATATTGTGTATTTGTGTTATTGGTTAATTGAATACTTTTCATTTGACCAGGTATTTGATGATGTTCTCTTTTATGTTCTTGTAAATACAGTCAAATTGAATACTTTTGTATTTGAAATGTTATGTTGATTTTAACCAGGTAATCCATAAAAGTGTTAAAACTAAGATTGATATTGCCGTATTTTTCAAAACGTATTATTGACAATGCACCGTATTAAACCCGTATATACCCGTACCGTATTTTTCCCGTATCCAAATTTTATGGCCGAATTTTTATAAACGTATTTTTCACTGTTTACCATATTATACCCGTATAATTCTCGTACCGTTTTTTTGCCGTACTCGTATTTACTAACTAGGGTTCAACAAGCACTTAAAGATAATGTGGTATTAGCTGTCATCAGCCCAAACCGCCTTCAAGAGATATTTTATATAAATCATATCCCATTTTAAGATAAAGATTAAGGAGTGGTCCCCACGTGTCAAAACAACTTGCAAAAACTTTCATTACATTGACCTCAAAGGTATAAATAAGGCACCTCTCTTCATGAAAATGAGAGGCTAGGCATATGAGAGCAAGGCATAGATTTGAGCTTCATTATTTTTCTCTGTAAACAAAGTATTTCTCCATTCTTTGTACGCCTTATAAGCAATATCATAAAAATAGTCAGAGAATAATAAAATAACAGTGGATGTAGGATTCGCTTTAAACATTCGAGCCACTATAAAAATCTCCCTTGTCAATCTTTTATTTATGTTTCTGCAAACATATATAATCTCAACATCATAAACACTTCTCATGAATCATTCACGTGTTATTTCTAAGAACAGCTTAGCACTTTGCACGTGCGAGTCGTTGGTGTTAAAATCACGCATCAACAACACTTAAGGATGGAATTGCAATGATGAAGACAATGGTGGTGGCCACAAGAATTACTAAAACTAACTCCAGCACTTGGTTTAAGGTAGTGAAATGGTGGCCAAATTTAAAAATTGTAGTACGACAATTGTTATGGAAATTCACTATCAATTCTATGCCTAATCACATGCGCAAATAACATAGATAACACACGCAATACCAAATCAAAACCACAACCAACTCAAGAACACCAAATATACCGTGGTTCACCTTTCCACAAAAGAAAGATTACATCCACATTGAGCTCCAGGAATTTTGGGGCTCACTACACTAGGAATAAAACGTTATTACAGATTACAGATAACTCTCACTGATTTTACCCAAATATCAATCAAGAAACCCACTCACACAAACCTGAAAAAATCCCTAGAGATGACCTGATCCAGTCTCTCTAAACCTAAAGGAACAACCTGCCCTCACCCAGGATTACATAGATTTTTAACTCACACAAGATTGAAAACAAACTCTCAACACAAAGGGCAAAACAGATCTGTCGCGCAAAAGAGAAGAAGCAAAAAATCACTGTTCTATGTAAAGACTCTTCCTTTATATAGTTTGACCTCATGAGCTAATCCTGGCCGCTGGATTTGCTTTATTTCAGTGGTTGAGATTTGATCTTATTTGCAGTGAAACAACAATGTATTGATTAGTGATATTGTGTAGAAACGTTACCGTTTTGTGCTCCATATGTCAACAATTCTCCACCTTGAAGCTCAAAACTTTCACAACCCAGAATTCCTAAGTGTAGCTCACTATCCTAAAATCCCTTCATAGCTCGGTTGCTACCTGATACTTGATAGATAGTAGGTTCAAGCAGTGCTTGAACTTGGTAGTAGTGACGATCTTGGTACCCATATCAGGAAGATTATCTTCAGTTGGGACTTTCTTCAAGATGATCAATCCTTGGGCAACTAGATATCTGACGAAGTGAAATCTCACATCCACATGTTTGGTCCAGTCATGATAGAAAAGATTTTTTTGCTCAGTTGAATGGCGCTTTGGTTGTCTGAATAAATTGTGGCTACTCCATCAATCAAATTCACTTCAGTTAGTATTCCTTGAAGCCACAGTGCTTCCTTGAAGACATCAGCAACAACGACATACTTTGCCTCAATTGAGGAGAGTGCCACAATAGGCTGGAGCTGGGATTTCTAGCTCACACAGTTTCCTCCCAACGTGAACACATAAGTAGTGGTTGATTTTCTTGTGTCTTTATCCCCTGCAAAATTAGAATCTACAAATCCCACAAGATCAAGTGAATTATATCTTTTACAATATTCCAAACCGATATGAGAAGTGCCATTAATATACCTCAGAACCCATTTAAGAGCTGACTAGTGTTCTGCCCCAGGATTCGACATAAAACGACTCAGCAATGACATAGCAAAGGAAAGGTCAAGTCTAGTGCTAATCATGACATACATAATTGACCATATTACATCTGCATAAGGGACTTGTTCCATCTTTATTAACTCAGAATCTGTTTTGGGACATTGGTGTTTACTAAGTGTGAAATGACTTGCTAAAGGCATAGATACAACCCTTGATTCAACCATATTAAACTTAGAAACTAGTTTTTGCAAGTAGGAGCTGAGTTAATCTTAATTCATGACAGTTTCTGTCCCTATGTATTACCATTCCTAATATCCTTTTAGCACATCTTAAGTCTTTCATGTCAAACTCAACCTTGAATTTACCTTTTAGTCCATTTATTCTAGGTTTAGATTTGCTAATCAAGAGCATGTCATCCACATATAACAGTAAATACAAAGGCAGATCATTATCCAAAGCAAAATAAAAGCAACTATCATATTTGCTCCTATTAAACCCAATGCTTAAAATAAATGTGTCAAACCTCTTGTGCCACCGCCTAGGGGACTGTTTCAGTCCATACTGACTTATGAAGCAAACACACATAATTTGGAAGTCTTTTAACAACAAATCCAACAGGTTGTCTCATATATATTTTCTCTTCTAGGTTTCCATGTAGAAAAGCAGTCTTAACGTCTAGTTGCTCTAATTCTAGGTCATAATGTGCAACTACAGCCAACATAATCCTAATTGTTTTATACTTAACTACTAGTGAGAAAATTTCATTAAAATCAATGTCTTCCCTTTGTGTGTAACCTTTAGCTATAAGTCTAGCCTTATACCTAGGAGGATCAGAAGAGTTTATACCTTCTTTTACCTTGAATAGCCATCAACATTCAACTGGTTTCTGATCATTTGGAGTTGGGACTAAGGACTAGGTTCTGTTGACTTTCAGGGACTGCATTTCTTCCTCTATTGTAGCCTGCCATTTGTCCTTGTCCTTTGATCTGATTGCTTCCTCATAGCTATCAAGTTCTGATCTTAGTACTTCAGCTTCAGCCACCAGTGTAGTGAAGATCAAATCAGCATAGGAATATCTTGCTAGAGGTCTGATCTCTCTACAGGTCCTGTCTCTGTTAGCTGATATTGTGCCAGGGATTCTTCTTGGGTTGATTCTAAGTTCTCAGCGGGTTCACCCTTCTAGTCATGATCCAGGGTTGCCATTTCAGTTTCTTCATCTGGATTTTCTTCATCAGGTTGAATACTTGAGGGCTCTACCTCAATTTGTGTCCCTGCATTTGGTTCTTGACTCATAGGATCAATGCTAGAGGTACCTGCATCAGGGTTAGTAGTTTTGCAAGGAAAAATATTTTCATTAAAAATAACATCCCTACTAATTATTACTTTAACCCTTGGTGATGTTCTTTCCCATAATCTGAACCCATTAGTCCCTTCTTGATAACCGAGGAAAACACACTTTAGTGACCTAGGTTCAAGCTTCCCTTCATTTGTGTGTGCATAGACTGCACACCCAAAGACCCTAAGGTGGTTTAGGTTTGGCTTTCTTTTGGACCATCTCTCCTCGGGACAGGTGAAACCTATTGCACTAGAGGGGCTTCTGTTGACTAAATATGCTGCAGTGTTGAGGGCTTCTCCCTTAAAGGTCTTAGGTAATCTTGATGTGAACAGTAAGCATCTCACCTTTTCTAACAACGTCCTATTCATTCTCTCAGCTACTCCAT